CTCTTCAGCTCAAGGCTAGCGCTCTACCACTTGAGCCACAGTGCCACTTCCGGCTTTTTTTCTTTTTGCTTATGTGGTGCTGGGGAATCGAATCTAGGGCCTCAGGCATGCAAGGCAAGTGCTCTACCACTGAGCCACCTTCCCAGCCCCTGAATGTTTTTGACTCTATTTTTAAAGAATTATTATTATTAATATTATTATTATTATTATTTTGGCAGTTGTGGGGCTTGAACTCAGGGTTCTTCTGCTCAAGGCTAGCATTCTACCACTTGAGCCATAGCGCTACTTCTGGTTTTTGAGTAGTTAATTGGAGATAAGAGCCTCAGGGGGACTTTTCTGCCTAGAGTGGCTTCAAACTGCCATCCTCAGATCTTAGCCTCCTGAGTAGCTAGGATTATAGGAGTGAGTCACCAGAATCCAGCTTTTATTTAAAGATCTGTAAAAAGGGGTTTGAAGTCAACATGTCAAGTTATCTTGTTCAGTGCCACCCCTTCCAGTATTCTCTTCCACCCTCCCAACTCCACCCATCCCTTCAAGTTAGCTGATTCCATTTTCACATCTGCACATCTTCCCAGCCTTCCTCTCCACATTCATCTTTTTTTCTTATTGCTAGGTAAGTGCACTACTCTTTGAGCCACACTAACACCTCATGTATTTTTTTGAGACAGGGTCTTTCTAGGCTGTCCTGGAGCTTGTGTCCTTCTGCCTCAGCTTGTTGAGTGCTGAGATTACATGTGTTTGCTATCCTCCTCCCTCCTCCTGCTCCTGTTCCTGCTCTTCCTCCTCCTCCTGCTCCTCCTCCTCCTCTTCCTCTTCCTCAATGATCACCATGCTTATCATGGTTGGGTCGATTCCTCCTCCTCCTCCTCCTCCTCCTCCTTCTTCTTCTTCTTCCTTCTTTTTGGAGAGATGGTGACTTGCCATGTTGCTCAGTCTGACTCCAAACCTCCACCCTCAAGTGATCCTCTTGCTGGAGTCCCCTGAGGAGCTGGTCTGCAGGAGCCTGTAGCCATGCTTAGCCTTGGTCATTTTTAAAGGCTTTAAAGATTCTCTGAGGGCTGAGAAAGTGGTTCAGTGGTAGAGTGCTTGCCTAGCATGCATGAAGCCCTGGATTTGATTTCTCAGTAGTACTGCATACATAGAAAAAGCTGGAAGTGGCACTGTGGCTCAAGTGATAGAGTGCTAGGCTTGAGCAAAAGAAGCTCACAGACAGCACCCAGGCCCTGAGTTCTCAAGCCCCAAGACTGGAGGAAAAAAGATTCTTGGATAGAGGCTAAATTTCAAAAATTTTTTCATTGTGTTTAATTTAGCCTTTATTTATTTTTATTTTTATTTTTTTATTGTGAAAATACTGTACAGAGGGGTTACAATGTAAAGTTCGTTTTTGACATAATGACTTGTACTTCTCATTGTTGCAATGGGTCCACCTGTATCCCTATTTAAATGACTTGTTTTTCCCCTTCCCCTCCACAAATTACACCAACATCAAATACATTGAAAGCAGGGGTTATACTATGGAGGAGGGACATACAAAGCAACAAAGAAATAATCTTTTTTATTTTATTTTATTTTTTTATTGTAAAGATACTATACAGAGGGTTACAGTTACATGAGTGAGGTAATGAGTACACTTCCTCTTGAACATTGTTACCCCCTCCATT